AGGCGTTTATGGAAGGCGGGAGCTGTTTCAGGGAGCGGGGTGGGGGTGCTGATGCTGGGGAGATGGACCTTTGCGCAGTGTCTACTGTGTTCGGGGCCCTTTGGCATCGGATCTCTTGACAAGGGGGTGTTGTGGGCGTGGTTATTGCGCCACACCCACGTGGAGTAAGGAAATGTGGCTCCCAAGTTCAGCCGCTTCCCAGGGGCCATGCTGATAATAAATGGCAGGGCTGAATTTCTATCTAGATTTTGAAATCCAGAGCAAAATAGTGCAGTATTCAGTGTGGCGTCTGGAGCCAGACAGCCCAGGGCTGAAATCCCAGCTCTGTCTGTCAGAAGCTGTGCGATCTTGGGCAAATAGCTTAGCCCCTCTGTGCTTCCGTTTCCTCACGTGTAAAGGGCAAATAATACGTGTGCACCCACCCCTCATCGGGCGCCGACCGGCTGAAACGGGTTGATAGGCGCAGATTTAGCTCAGCTGGCTGAGGGCTCGCGATTGCTGTACTGATGCGTCTCACTCGAAGGCGCATGCGCTTGCCGCTGTGCCGGCCGGCGGCTCGCACGACGGGACTCTGCACAGTATTTGAACCCAGATCCCGCAGAAGAAATGCACATTGAAACCAGGACCGGGTGGAATCAGGACCCAAAATGGTGAGTGATTGATCCTGGGGACTGTAAAGTGAGCCACTGTTCCTGGTGAGCGCCGTCCTTCAGACAGCTGGAATGTTCTAAATCATTCTAAGACCCAGGCAGATTGGAATTTAAAAATGTGTTTCCCCTTTTAGAGTGAGCCATGCCTAAGTATTTCTGGCCTGTGAAAGGAACACAGTTTCAGAGCCAGGGCAGGGAGACCACGTGTACTTGCAAAACCCAACCAAACTCGTGGCCACCAAGCCCTTTTCCTCTGCAGCTTGTAGGGACTTCATTGCGGCCGCTCTGCAGGGCAGGGGGTTCCCTGTACGAGGCCGCCCAGGAGGTCGGGCTGGTGGGCGGGCAGCGGAGGGGAGGAGTCAGAAGGACTGAGTCTGGGAAGCAGGGAGGCTTGGGAATTCCATAGCCCCTGTGAATGTGATTTAAGACACCTCAGTATGTATTAAAGTCAAATATACACTGACCCCATGATTAGCAATTTAACTCCTAGGTATTTATTCAACAGAAATGCATTATGTATTTTTGGATTTTTGGGTTGTTTTGGAGGCGGGTTCTTGCTCTGTCACCCAGGCTGGAGTGCAAGTGGCATGATCATAGCTCACTGCTGCCTCGAACCCCTGGGCTCAAGCAATCTTCCTGTCTCAGTCTCCCCAGTAGCTGGGATTACAGGCATTTGCCACCATGACCAGCTACTTTTTAAATCTGTCTGCAGAAATGAGGTCTCACTGTGTTTCCCAAGCTGGTCTCGAACTCCGGGGCTCAAGCCATCCTCCCCTCTCAACGTCCCAAAGTGCTGAGATTACAGATGCGAGCCACCACACCCAGCCTGCATTTTGTGTTTGCAACAGAAGCCATGACATAATGTTCAGAAAAACATTGAACATGTGAGTCTCAAATGCAAACTCCCCTGAAGCTCACCAGTGGTGGAATGGACCAATAAATGATGGAATATTCATCCATAGACTACCATACAGCAATGAAAAAAGAACAAAGTGCTGCTTCAGGCAAAAACAGGGAAGAATTTCACAGATCCAGCATCGAGCAAAAAGCCAAACCCGAAGAGTACATGTGATACACTTACCTCCACTTAGCGAAGGTTAAAAACAGGCTGTGCAGACACGGGCTAGGCCTGAAAACATTATGCCCAGCCAGAGAAGCCAGTCACAAAAGACCACGTGCTGTACGATCCCATTTATGCAGATCCACCTGTCCAGAACACGCAGATCCACAGAGACAAAGTAGATGAATGGTTTCCAGGGACTGGGGGGGTAGGGGTGGGGCGGGGGCTGGAGGTGTTGAGGGCGAGAGCCAAAGGGTATGAGGTTCCTTTTGGGGGTGATAAAAATGTTCTAAAACGGATTGTGGTGGTGGTTGAAAACTCCATAAATATACTAAAAGCCATTGAACCGTACACTTTAAAAGAGTGGATTGTGTGGTATTTGAATATCTCAATAAAGCTGCTAGAAAATAAAATGGTCGGTTGGGCGCGGTGGCTCACGCCTATAATCCCAGCACTTTGGGAGGCCAAGGCGGGTGGATAACGAGATCAGGGGTTTGAGACCATCCTGGCCAGCATAGTGAAACCCCGTCTCTACTAAAAAATGTATAAAAAATTAGCTGGGTGTGGTGGTGGGTGCCTATAATCCCAGCTACTTGGGAGGGTGAGGCACCAGAATCGCTTGAACCCAGGATGTGGAGGTTGCAGTGAGCTGAGATTGCGCCACTGTACTCCAGCCTGGGCGACCTTGTGAGACTCTGTCTCAAAAATAAACAAATAATAATAAAAAAAAAGAAGTCAAGGTGCCTGGAAATCTGGCTCTAAGTTATTACCCTTGGGGGTAGGGGAGGGTCTGGAAGCAGGTACCTGGGGGCCTGCTGGAAGTCTGGACATGCCTTATTTCTGGGTATTAGTTACACAGACATGTTCCGTTTGTGAAAATTCTGCCTGCTGTACATACGGATGATGAGGTACGCTTTTCTCTACGGAGACAACACTTCCGTAAAAAAGGTTTTGAAAAAATGACACCCCACTGTAGCGTCAGACGCATGCCTCAGTCCTACCTCGTGTCCCTATCCATGAGTCCAGCAACGACCTACCCGCTGCATAAATCAGAGGCCAGGGAAGGCGGGCTGGCGGCTGGCTTTGGAACATGCTTCGGTGACTCAGAGCAGCAGCTGGAAATAATCTGCTGCTGTTGATTTCACCGCCTCCCGTTGGGCAGCTCGGGGGACCTGCTGCAGCCCACTGAGTACTCCAGTGCCAGAGAGCTGGGGAAACCTGTACTGAAGGTGGCGGCCGCTGATGAAGCCACAGGCGGGACTCAATGGCCTGCAGCAAGGCCTGACCATTAGCATCCTTGGCAGGACCTCTTGAGGGACCAGGAAGGATCTGGGAAGGTGGTCTAACAGGCTGGGAGCTGAGCACGCGGCAGGGCGGATGAGAGTGAGGCGATCTGGCCAGACTGGCTCTCAGTGCAGCTTTAACACTTCCCAGCTTTGTGACACAGGGGACATGGGTTTGCTGTTCCAAGCCTCTGTGTTCTCATCTGTAAAACTGTGTAATCATGCCTACTTGCCTACTTTTTAGGCTGGTGTGAGACCCAAATGGGATAATAATATGAATATCAGCTCTGAACACGGTGCCTGCCTTCTAGTTAAACGTCAGCTACTGCCACTGCAGGGTGTGCGCTGGTTAGTACTGCGCGCCGACGGCACGCCGGGTGCCCTCACGGCAGTTCTGGGTTGTGCCCCCACCCCGCCCACCTGTAAGAAACCGTGGTGGCTGGGAAGCTTGGGGACATACCACGTAAATGGTTGCTGTGAATTTCATGCTGCAAATCAGGGGCCTGTTGAGAAGCTGGCAGCAAGGGAGTCTTTGAGTCCACTCCAGATTTATGTGTTTGTCCCATCATCCCCAGACACATGTCAGCTCTGGTGATCATTTATCAAAGGAGTTTTATGAGGCCCTGAAGTTCATGGCAATAGCCTTGGATTTGGAGATGGTGAGGGCTGCGGTGGGGGACAGTGTCTCCTGGAGGGGGAGACTGGGCTCTTCTCTGCTGGGTTCTTTTTCAGGCTTAGGGGAGCAAGGCAAGGCTTTAGAGCCTCTGATTATGCTCTGTAAATCTGTAGCCCATGCTCTGACACTTAATGGTGTAACGCAAACCGTGACTGTTTCAAAAGGCACTTTGCCGTTTACAAACCGTTTTTGCCTAAGTTGTCTCAGACCCCCGAGATAGAAAATGCTCCACCCACTTCCAAGTTCAGAAGCTCCTGTATTTAAAAAGGCAACAAGGCCAGGCACGGTGGCTCACGCCTGTAATCCCAGCACTCTGGGAGGCAGAGGCAGGTGGATCACTTGAGGTCAGGAGTTTGAGACCGGCCTGGCCAGCATGGTAAAAGCCCATCTCTACTAAAAATAGAAAAATTAGCCGGTCGCCTGTAATCCCAGCTACTCGGGAGGCTGAGGCAGGAAGATTGCTTGAATCCAGGAGGCGAAGGTGGTGGTGAACTGGGATTGTGCCACTGCACTCCAGCCTGGGTGACAGTGAGACTCTGTCTCAAAAGTAAAATGAATAAATAAAAGAAAAAGGCAACAAGACCCTAAGACAGGGTTACCAAACGCTCTGCATATGTTTAATGTTTATATTTCTCAAATCAGCACAATAAATGCAGTGAATTTTCATCAGCCCCGAAGCTGGCAGCTTATCCTGACTCCGAGAATGGTGCCCTTGGGGAAATCCCTGCCTTTTGGAGCCTCAGTTTCCCTCTCTCTAAAATGGATGTGATGCCTCCACGTGCTGCTGTGTCACGTGAGTGCATGGAGGTGAACTGGCTCATAAGCCCAAGGCCTCCACAAATCCCAGCGATTTATTTTGTCGTTAACAGTTACATTCGGCCGGGCGCGGTGGCTCAAGCCTGTAATCCCAGCACTTTGGGAGGCCGAGGCGGGTGGATCACAAGGACGAGACATCGAGACCAACCTGGTCAACATGGTGAAACCCCATCTCTACTAAAAATACAAAAAATAAGCTGGGCATGGCGGCGCGTGCCTGTAATCCCAGCTACTCAGGAGGCTGAGGCAGGAGAATTGCCTGAACCCAGGAGGCGGAGGTTGCGGTGAGCCGAGATCGCGCCATTGCACTCCAGCCTGGGTAACGAGAGCGAAACTCTGTCTCAAACAACAACAACAACAACAACAACAACAAAAACAGTTACATTCTTTCCCCCTGAGAAGGAGGATGTATTTTTGCCAGTGGCCTGCCATGTTTGAAGCTCTTCCTGAGGATAGCAGGGAAGGGCTTGTTTCATTCTTAAGCAAAAAGAATTTAAAAAGAAAAAAGAGAAAATAGGGCAGTCAGATGATATATTTTGTTTTTCTGGTCCCCAGTGAGCCGGAGGCCAAACACAGCACACGTCGCCTCTGAAAAGAGGAGGATGGACCAGCTTAAGAAGGTAAGTGGGTCCTGGGAGGGATGCCAGAGGCGCAGGCGCAGTTTAGAAGGAGGAGGAAAAGGGCAAAAGGCCCCGGTGAGAAGGGAAGCCGGGTTGCAGGGCTGGGAAAAGCCAGGGGCACATGGCAGAGTTGAATCTTGTTTGATGGCGCAGTAGAAGCTGGCCGGGCAGCTGAATGATTCTGGAACTGGAAGGCACAGTGAGTGAGGTTTTGGAGAGTCTAGCGGCGTCCCTGGTTCAAGCACCGATTGGTCCCCAACCATGTCCACAGCTTTGTGAAACTGGGCAGGGCCAGGCAAGCCAGCTCAGGTTCTGCCCCAGTGGGAGAGGCAGGCACAGAGACAGAGACACAAAACAACGTGCGGTTAAGTTTGGAGGCTGGAAATGAGCTCCCCGGGGTGGGATGAGGGCAGATTCCTGCGGTTTCTGGGCTAAGACGAACCTACAGGTAGCTGCAAATCTGAGATACGTCCAGGTGCTCCTTGCTGACAGCCTCCTGTCTCCTGCAGAATGGAGGTGGGCATTTTTTACCTGCTCCCAATGCAGAGTCTGTCTATGAGCGTCTGTCAGTGCTTTTCAAGTCCTATGATTGAAGGACGGAGAGCCGGGCTGTGCAGTGTGTGGTCTGCAGGGAGCCTGGCACCCTCTCTCCAGCTGCAGGGTGGGGTGTAAGGCTTAGAGGGAAGCCAAGAGAGGGCTCTGCTGGGGACGGTAAGGCTGTGGCGTCAGCAGCTCTTGCCAGGGATGTTTGGACGGCTTAGTCCTGTTTGAGCCTTTTGCCCATTTCCATTAGAAACAGGGACTTCAAGTCTACTTTGGCGTGTGAAGTTCATGCCAATGCACCCTGGCATTTCTTCTCATCTCCTGGCACAAACTTGGCCTGTTTTGTATCCAGACAGGCACATGTGAGGGCCTGTTTCCTTTGGTGTGAAACTGGGGACACATGTGAGCAGAGGGGAGATCGGACTCTAGGTTGTTCCTGTCCCGGCATCTCAGGACTGAAAGCAAAGTGAATCTCGCCAGCTAGTAAAGCAAGGGGTTTCACAGGCATGCGGCCTGGGAGCCAGTCCCAGCTCCACAACGCTGTGTGACCCTGGGCCTGTGACTTCCCTCACCCCTACACTTGCGGGTACCACAGAATCTACCTCATGGACTTCTGGGAAAGATTCGTTGAGTTGGCACCTGCAAAGCAGAGGTCCTGGCATGTGCTTTACACGGAACGGGCGTGCTGGATGTTTAATGCTTACACATGCTGCGAGTGTTTATATCACTGCTATTCTGCATCCCGACACAAAGTGCTTTCCCGGGATTGGCTCGATTCGCTCTCCCTGCACACTGTCAAGTTGGTGCTGCTTTACAGATGGGGAAACCGAGGCTCAGAGAGGTAAAGGAGCAAGCCAAAAGCCACACGGCTAGTAAATGGCAGAGGTGTGATGTCGATCTGGTGTGTTGAGCTGTGGCAGCGGCCCTGCCCCCATGTCATCCACCCAGAGGAGTGGCCACCATCACCCGCCTTCTCCTCTGATCTGTGTTCACTCTGCTTCCTGGCTCCCAAGACGTGTTCCAGGGGATTTTCCTGAGTCACTGGGTCAGTGAAGGGAAGACAAACATCCAGCTGGATGCCTCCCGCTCCTATTACTGGCCCACTTGACATGCACACACAGGCACACACCCACAAGCACGCAGGTGAACTCATGGACACCAATGCACACACACATGCATACTCACATGCTCACACACAGGCTGCACATACATATATAACTACGCATATGTACACAAACGTATACACTCTAACAAACGCAGAATCATGCACATTCACACATGCACACACTCACCCCTGCCTACGTATGGTGCATACTCAGAATACCTCCTGGAGGAACCCAGGTCAGCCCAGCCAACCCGACCTCTCTCTTTTGGTCTGGCTGAGCCCATGGCCCTCTTCCGTCAGACTCTGTGTGTGACCTCATCACAGTGGCTCTCCATAGCACACGGTAGTGCAGACAGGTAGCTGGAGAACCTCCTTAATCACCGGAGAAAAGAATGGGCAACACACATACACGGTCACTTACCCCACCCCTGTGCTCAAATCCCCATTTATTTAACAACTCCCATTGTGCAGAGCAGAAAACCCAGAGGTTGCGTGGTAAGAAGTCGGCCCAAGGCTCACACAGCTGGCAAGGGAAGAAACGGGACTGAGACCCAGGTGTGTGGGACTCAGGCACTGAGCCAGGCCCCAGATCTCCGGTGAGCAAGACAGACCTGGATCCTGCCCTCAGGAGGGAGCACCCAGGATTCTGGGGGGTGGGGAAGGGGCAGACAGGAGCAGTGGTTAGAAAAAAGTCAATAAAATCAATGGCAAACTCCTGTGCAGGGGAGCTGGGACGGCGAAGGGCGGCACAGCACCTGCTCTAGAGGAGAAGAAAGGGAGGCCTGAGGATGACAGTGGGGCCATGGCCACAAAGATGAGCCCAAAACGCATTTGAAGCAGCAGTAGGGACAGCACCTGCGCAGCCCTGAGGAACCCACGTTTAACTCACCAGCGGACCCGATGTCCCCGGCCGGGCAGTGTCTTAACCAGCAGCCACTTGGTCTGTGTGGGACCTGACAGCCTCTCTAACTCTGCAAGGATGCAATTCAACAGGCACTGCCCTTTACACTTTTCCTAATCAGCCCCCCGCCCTCCTCTCTCCAGGTATTAAAAATGCCAGGCGCCAGGAAGCCCCCCGCCCCACCCCCAACATTCCTTCGGGACAGTTTTGCTGACACAGCATTCCTCTGGGCCAGGGTGAAGGCCCGAAGGCCCTCATCTCTGGCAATGACGATTTCCTGTTAACCCTTGGACCTTGAGCCCTGGAATATCCCCCAGGGATTCTGGAGAGCAGGCGCGGGCGGCGCTGAGGCCTTCTTGCGTTTATTTATAACGCATGGCCCTCTTCCTTGCCAAGAGGAAGCCCAGTTTTACTTGCATTTCAGCGTCCCAGTGGGTGGAGGGGACCACCGGGCACCTTTGTCCCCAGGCTGAGAATGGTGTGAGGAAGCTGTAAACTGCCCAGAAGTCAGAGACTCGGAGAATTTTGAAGCTGGAAGGGGTGCCATTTCACAGATGGGAAATGAGAGGTCTGGTGATGCCTGGACTGGACCAGGGCCTGAGCCAGATCATCTGGGAGGACCCAGGGATCCTGGCCTTGCCCTGCCATGGACAGTCTCCATCAGCAGGCTGGTGACATGGACCAGACATTTGCCTCGCACAGCTACTCACCCCGGTGGTCAAGAGCAGGGCCTGGAGCCCGACGGCAGTCAATGCCACTTCTTTGCTGTCTGTGAAATGAGGCTGATCACACTTAACCTTTAGTTACTGGGAGGAGCAATTGAGTGACGTATATAAAGCATTTACAACAGTCTGCCTATTAAATAAATACAACGTATCTCTACACATGTACAACAAAGACGTGGAAACAGTTAATCCTCTGCTGCAGCTCCCGCTGAAGAGAATGAAATCGGGGCCCAGAGAGGTTAAGTCACTGGACTTGGGACACACAGGACCTTTTCTACCTCTGCTGGTGACCCAGTGACCCCTGGCGGTGGTGGGGAGGGGGCAGAGCAGGCCCCAGACTGTCTGCTGGATGCTGCATTCACTAGTGGGTCCAAGGAGACTGGGACGACTCCTCTTCGCTCTCTCCAAAATTAGAACATGGGGCCCTGAATGGTGTCCCCAACCCAGGCCTGTTAGGGACTGAAAAGGGCTTTCTGGCTTGGTTCCCCCTTTAGAGGGTGCCGGACCGCCCTGAGCGAACCCCGCAGGGTGCCAGCATCTGGACTTGGGCTGCCCTTACCGCGGCCCTGGGGCCGGGGGTTCCTCCGTCTCCAATGTCTCCAAGGGCGCCCGCCGCGTCCTTACCTGGCTCCTCCCGCGTCCTGCTTGACCTTTACTTAAAGACCAGCTCTAGCTGCTGATGGGTTTCGGCGGGTCCCCCAGGAGACCCTTCAGACAGCTTGAGCCTGGCGCGCTGGAGAGAGCCCCTAATTGGGGCAATGAATCATCGCGCGCCGCTCCGGCTGGACACAAAATAGATAGAGGAGCCGGCCGCTATTGTGCGCAGTTTGGGACGCGGGGGGAGGCGGCGGCGGGCGGGAGGGAGACGGGGAGGAGGAGGGCGGGGGAGGGAGCGCGCGGGGAGGGATTCCCCCGCCCGCCGCGCGCCCGCCCTCCGCCCCTCCCCGCCCCTCCCGCCCGCCGCCGCCCCGCCCCCTCCTCCCCAATTAAATGACCCCACGCCTTGGCAGGCGCCGGAGCTCGCACATGCGGCTGCCGCTCCAGCCGCCTGGGCCCCTCCGCCGCCGCCGCCGCCGCCGCCGCCGCCGCGTTCCGGGCGCGCTCGCCGCGGCGCCGCCTCGGCCCGCGCCGCCGCCGGGGGCTCGGCAGGCCCCGGGGGGCGCCGCTGCGAGCGGCCGTGCGCTCGCGCCCGCGCCGGCCGCCGGCCGCCAAACTTTGCGGCGCGCACACATGCTCCAAGTTGGGCGCGGCGGCGGCGGTGCGGGCGGGCGCTGAGGGCGGCCCGGGGCGCGCGGGGGCCCGGGCGGGCGGCGCGGCGCGGCCATGAGCGGGCGGCCGGCCCCAGTCTCCCGCAAGCAGCGGCTCATGGCAGCCGTGGGCGAGCGGGCGGCGGGCGGCGCGCCACTCTCCTGCTTCATCTGCGGCGGCGGCATCGGGCGCGGCAAGGAGCTGAAGCTGCAGGTGAAGCAGCCGGCGGCGGGCGCGGGGGCCCCGGCGCAGCCCTTCTTCCCGTTCCTGCAGCAGCAGGAGCCGGCGCCCGGCGCGCGCGAGCTGTCCCCGGCGGACGGCTGCGTGCTGGTGTGCGCCGTGTGCCGCTGCTTCCTGGGCGAGCAGTGGGCCGCCTTCGAGCGCGCCCGCACGCCAGTGGACAAGCGCATGTACTGGCTCAAGCGGCCCCACCAGTGCGACGCGGGTGCGGGCGGCCGCCGCGGCGGCGCCGGGGCCCCCCGCGAGTGGAACGTCGCCTACGCGCTGGGCAGCGCCGCAGGCGACGACGACGACGACGACGGTGGCGGCCCCCGGCTCCGCGGGGCAGCCGAGGGGACTCGAGACTCGGACCTGTCGGATCTATCGGACACCGACCCCCTTTCCGAGCCCGACCCGCCCGCGCGCGACGCTGCCAGCCCCCACCAGGACAGGGCGCCGGCGCCGCGGGTCCCCCCGGGGCCAGGGCCTCGCGGGGGGCGCGGCCAGGAGTGGAGGCCGGCTCTGGGACCCCCTCCGGGACCGGGCGCAGAGGCCCCGGTGCAGGGGCGCGCGGAGGAGGAGGGGCTCCCTGCGAGGTTCCACGCGGATGGGGAGCCCAAGGCCGGGCTTAGGCGCCGGCGGAAGGGGGTTGGGAGACACTGGGTTCCCGAGGCCCGGGCCAGCGTCCTGAGGGGCATTCAGGATCCTTGGCAGGGCCCTCCTGTCCAAGAGGCCCCTGCAGACGGCATGAAAGGGCCCGCCTCCGGCAGGGCCACCAAGCCCCTGGAGAGCAGGCCTCTGGGGGACACCCTTCGGGGCTTCTGCACGTCCGAGGACAGTGACATCAACATCACCAGCGGGGAAGAGGATCACAAGGAGTCGCCTTTCCCAGGCTCCTGCAACCCCAAAGAGAAGGAGAACAGTGGCCGTGGCCCCCGGGCCCTCCCGGACAGCCGGGCGGCCCCACCAGAGGGCCTTTGCTGCTACATCTGCGGGTCCCCGCTGTCCCCGGCCTCGCACCACCAGGTCCACGTGCAGAAGCAGGAGAAGCTGGCGCAGGCCCCGTTCTTCCCCTTCCTGTGGCTGCACAGCCCGCCCCCAGGGGCACAGCCCATCAGCGAGGGCGGCAGCACCTTAGTGTGCACCAGCTGCTTCTCCTCCCTCACGCAGCAGTGGCAGAGCTTCGAGCTGGCCAACGTGCCAGTCCTGCAGCGACTCTACGTGGTGCCCCTGGACAGCCACGCCCCCGGCATGGCCTCCAAGGGCAGGAGACTCCCCAGGGAAGAGGGCCTTCCGCCTGGGGCCCTGCGAGAGGCCTGCTACCTCTGCGGGGAGGACTGTACCCCGGATGCCCGGGCGGTGCCCTCCAGGATCCTCAACGGCAACGCCAGGAGCGCAATGCATTTTCCTTTCCTCAGCCTCCTGCCCTGCCCGCCCAATGCCCAGGGCCCCAACAAGCGCTGCGAGGTCCGCAGCTGCCCCAAGTGCTTCAGCGTGCTGGAGGACGTCTGGGCCCTGTACCGGGCCTGCCAGAAGGAGGAGCTCATCACCTCCGTGCAGGGCTTCCTGGGCAGGTACCACCAGGCCTTCTCCGCCTCCGACCCTGCCCTCTCTGAGCTGCCCGCATCAGCCCAGGGCAGCCATGTGTCCATCTGCTACATCTGTGGGGCTGAGCTGGGCCCCGGGAGGGAGTTCCAGCTCAACGTGAACCCCGCCAGCCGCTTGGGCGAGAAGGAGCCGTTCTTCCCCTTCCTCACCGTGTATCCGCCGGCGCCTCGTGCCATGCCTGTGGACTCCACTGGACTGGTGGCCACCTGTGTGCTCTGCTACCATGACCTGCTGGCCCAGTGGCTGCAGCACGAGGCCCGCAGCACCCATCACGCTGTCAGCGCCTGGTCCCGGCAGTACCACGTGGAGACATTCGTGTGCTTCTTTTGCCAGCAGGAGAAGAAACGGTGTCTGGGGCTGAAGTCTGTGCGGGTGGCCCGGCTGCCCCTGTTCCTATACACACTTCGAGCAAGCCACAGCCTGCTGGTGGATGACGGACAGCAGCTGATCATCGGCGCTTGCATGGAGTGTGGGACCCTGGTGTCTGCGGGCCAAGGGCTCACCTGCCAGGGACCCATGAGCTGGAGCTCCCCGGTGGCAGCAGCAACGAAGGTAAGCAGCAGTTTTCATCTCCAAAATCCATGCAGAGAAGGGAGAGATGTTTTCTGTTCCTCAGAAAAACTTGGAAGGAGGAGTTTTCACTGGTTCTGTGTGGTGTGTTCTGGGGGAGGTACCCTCCCTGAGTCACTGGGCTGGTACTTGGTAGGTACATTGGCTTGGCTGACCTTGGAGGCATGGGGCAGCGGTCAGAGCAGTGCCGGTCAGGAGTGGTCTTAGGGAAGAATAGGGCACTGCTGAGAACAGCAGGCACGGGCCTGAACTTGGGTGTGTGTGCAGTGGGATCTGTCACACAGAGGAAGTTCGGGGCATGTCTGTCATCCGCCTGATAACATTGGTAATTAGTCCAGCCGTGCAGGTCACAGAGAGGTCTGCACTCACCCGGTTTGAAACACATCAGAGGTGGAAGTTCCTCTCCATTCTAGCTCCCATGTGGCTTTTCCAGAGTTTTCCACCCAAATTCACACTGTTACTTTGAGACTCTGCTTGCTTTACGACTGAGGGAAACAGGGTTCCAGACGTGGGGGTGTGGAATTCGAGGGACAGTGGCCTAAACAGACTTCACCCAGCGGGAAGAGTGTCTTTCTTCTCTGCAAGTCAGCTGTGCAGGAGGCAGACGGGGGCCTGGCGTTCTCCCTGTTTATAAGGCGCCTGCCTTCCCGCTGCCCGCCCGCGAGGAGCCAGGCGGGGCTCAGTTAATTTGGGATCTGGCTTTGCAAGGGCCCAAGCAGGAACTGCCCCCGGTGCGTCTGGGGAGGTAGATGTAGGCGTCTGTGAGTGGCGGTCACCAACCTGGCTACTGGGGCATGGATCGTCATTTCTGCCAAAGGAAGTCAGTGCTGCTTGCTTTAATCAAATGCCTGTAGCGGCAGCTGCTGGCCAAGGGTGGGCAGAGGGACTTGTGGATGGGAAAGTTGGCGCTGTCCTGTTCAAAAGGGCCATTCCACCCCTTGAAAGCTTCCTGATCCTGCCTCCCACCTGCACGTGTGGGGGCACATAGGCGGGCTATCTGGGGGACACGTTCACTCACAGTGGCCGCATCTGGCAAGTGTGCTCTGCCATGCTTTGCCCCTCCTCCCCCAGTACACGGCCCCCACCTTCACGCTCTGCTCAGATCTCCGTTTCTACCAATGACAGCTCTGGACTTTCAAGCTGTCTCTGTGGCTTTGGTGGGATGGCCTCTCACTGTAATTGGGTGAGTGCACCGTCTCCCGTCACGGTTGCTGCTGCTCTCCTCTGTGGCACGGAGCGGTGCGGTTCCTGAAAAGGCTGAAACTGGCCGAAGAGACCGAGTTTAGGAGCAAGACTGACCCCAGGTCGTTTGCTCCTTACCGTGGCGCTGCGAGGCCTTCTCATCTCGTTTATTGATTAGTCCACCGAGACTCAGTGACGTCAGACGACGCTCAGCCAGCAGGCATCTGAGGCGGGCTTCGAAACTGCCCTTTCTCTTGCTACTGAAGCACCTGGGAGTTAGTTTCCTGTCCTGGTGGCATGTCAATTTCGTTGGTTGAGAAATGGAAACATCCTGGCTGCCTTGTAGGGACATGGTGGGAGTTAAATGGACTGGGGGAAATTTAAGTCCCACAGACGGTCAGGGACCATCCTGTAGTGGGACCCTCACGCCCTCCGCCCTGATGCATAGGAGCAGATTCTTGGGTGTGGTTGGTTCTGTGTGCAAGATGCTGGCTTGCGGGCTGGGACCAATTTTACATGTGGCAGCGGTCTGTCACAGGGCAGTCAGAACTCTCAGCAAGGCCTCAAACACAGGATTTTGTACAGAACGTCCAGATTTGGATGCATTTTCTGGTGTGGATGTGCTCACATGTCAGGAGTTGATGGGATGTTGCCCATTGGCCTTGACCGATAAGAACTCCGGGAAGCAAGAAGCCGCCGTTTCCCAGGCGGCTGGGAAGGGGGAGTGGAGAGTAGTCCGGCGTGGACGGGAACGCAGGCTGGTGTCTGCGCAGAAGGGTCAGCATGGGTTTCACAAGGTTTCACGCGTATGGACGCCTGCTCTGTTCCCTAGTCACCCCTTCTATGGCCCTCGAGGCCTTCTCATCTCATTTTATAGTGAGTCCACCAAGACCCTGAGCAGTCAGACGACACACAGCCAGTGAGCGTCTGAGGTGGGGTTCGAACCTGCTTCTGCCACTAGGCCCTCTTCCACTGACTCCCTTGCTTCAAGCCTCAGAAAGGAGGTAGCATTTGTTGGAATGGGGCAGGCAAGTGGGCCCAGAAGCGGGGTGAGCGGCTCAGCCTCCTTGGGCAGAAGGTGCCTGCCAGGGATGAGAGGAAGCAAGCTTGGAGTGAACTCCAGGCCTTGAAATCAGGAATAGGAGGCTGGATTTGAAGCTGAAGGCTCAGGGGGGCAATAACAGTTTCTTGAAAGAAAGTGGAACGGACGGAGAAGACATCTGCTTAGGCCCAGCGGTGCCAGCAATCCAGGTGGGTGGCGAGGCCGCCGGGGCAAGTCTGCCCACAGAGTGGGCAGCTCTGCGGGTCTGAGGCTCCCCTGGATGGAGGGAAAGGGGAAGCCTCAGCTCCCAGCTCCCGGGAGGCACGACTGACAGCCGGGAGAATGCCGGAAATGCAGCCTTCTGGCCTTCCGTCCTCCTCCCCCTCCTTCCCATTCATTCAACAAATATTTATGGAGCACGGACTCTGAGCCAGGCGTGGTTCCAGATGCTGGGGATCTGGTGGCAGGCTCAGAGCCGCCAGTGTCGTGGGAGAGGGAGACGCACATGGGGAGTGAAGGGAAGGAGCCGCTTCCAGCAGAGCTAAGTGCAGAGAAGAAGCAGAACAGATTAAAAGTGGGACCCAGTGCCAGGGTGGGCATGGGCCACGAAGGTGGCACTTGTAGGAGCTGGGAATGAGCTGGGGCTCTGGGCGGGGGCCATCAGGGAGAATCCTGCAAGGCCCCTGGGGAGAGTGAGAGGGTGGAGGGGCTGTCCCCAAGCTGGGGTCCTAATGCCAGCCCTGAGATCTTGATCCTCATGGGCGTCTTCCTATCTGTTTTTGGGGGGTGGTGGTTTGAGAATTTGGGTGGGGTGAGTAGGGCAGTGCTGTGGGGAAGCCAGTCAGCGGGGGACGTGGCATGTCCCAGAACCGTGATCTGTGCTGCTTCCTGTGAGTCCTCCGTGGTCCCTTGTGAAGTGTTCATTCATTAGTGAGTCAGCCCTAAAACACAAGAGGAAACCTGAAAAAAAAAAAAAAAAAAAAAAATAGAAGAAAAGAAAAAAGGAAGGAGAGGAGAAGGGTGTCCCCTGTCCCCTCTGCCATGGATAAGGACTTGTACTTTTCCCTCCAGCGGGGCGCCAGCTCCCCGCAGAGCAACGCACTCTGCAGGCACCAGCCTCATGCCTCCTGCTTTGCCAGGGCTGTGTCCAGGATGGGCAGGGGAGGGCTGAAGCCTGCTTTTCTGGCCGGGCACCCCCACCCGAAGCACGAAACCCTGGAAAGACCCTGGGGTTGCCTTAAGACAGGCCTGGTTTGAATCTTCATGCTGCTGGGAGTTGGCTGTGTGATCCTGGGTAAGACTCTGGCCCTGCCTCAGCCTCAGTGGCTGCATCTGAGAAGTTCTTCCCTCTGGAAGGTTTGTCGTGGAACCTGGTGAGCCAGCCTGGCCTGGCTTGCAGTGGGGTGCAGATGCGTCGGCCCCCCCCTTTCCCTCCCTGAAGTGCTGCCTCTGCCTTTCTGCTGGGGTGGGGAATGGTTGTCCCTCCCTTCAGAGCTAGAAATAGGGCTGGCCAGGATGCTGGGGGTGGCATTTGGGGACGTGATGGTACGGGTGATGCCTTTATGAAGTGCTCTGAGCGTGCACTCTAGGAGGCGTGCACCCCTCACTTGTATTTACATGCACTGAAGCCTCCGCACAGCCCACTTTCAGGAGGTGCCACTGTCCCCTTTGCCTAGATCAGGAAATAAGTCCAGAGAGGTTAAGCAGCTCGTCCAGGGTTACTCAGCAGTAACCCCAGGAGCAGCATTGGGCCTGAGTCCAGCCCTTGAGTCTGCTCCAGCCTCTGCCTGGCCTGGCCTTGCTGTTTGTGGGTTTCTTTTGTTTTGTTTTGAGAGAGTCTCACTGTTGCCCAGGCTGGAGTGCAACGGTGCGGTGTCTGCTCACTGCAGCCTCCACGTCCTGGGCTCAGGCGATCCTCCCACCCCAGGCTTCTGAGTAGCTGGGACCATGCGTGTGCTGCGTCATCCCTGGCTCATTTTCTGGTGTTTTGTAGAGACTTTGTTGCCGTGGCTGGTCTCAAGTGATCCTCACACCTTCACCTCCCTAAATCCTGTCTCTGTCCCCTGTGGGTCTCCAGTCGTGGAGGTGGCCATGCCCTGGAGGTGGGGCAGCGGCTCGTAATTTCCCCTGTGTGCCCACCCCCCCTCGCCCCAGCCGATAGAACATCTCAAGGGCAGGAGTTAGCTTTCGTGGGGCAGAGGCCCTGAGATACCCCCACAGGGCTGCCTCGGCTGCACCGCCGAGTTTTTTCTCACTGAGCAGTGGCACCCTGTGCCTTTGCCTCCCCAGCGTGGCCCATCTGTTGAGATCTTAGCCGGCACCTTCCTTCTGTTGCTGGGAGAGCTCCCATCAAGGGTGGATCTGCTGCATGATGGATCGGCTCTCCCTGCAAGCCAGTTGGCGGGCGGGCCGCCCTTCCTGCTTCCAGAACTGTGTCCGGAGAGCATTCTGGTTAATGGCGCATGCAGCTGTTTACCTAATCATACTCCAGCCTCTCACTGTGGGGACGCCCCAGCCAGGCCCCCCGAGGGTGGCTTCCGAGCCCAGAACAGGTGTTGCTGCTGCCGCCACCTTTCTTCTCTGCAGGGACTTCTGAGGTCTGCAGAGAGTGTCTGTCGTCACCCGCCCATCAGGGCCACGTGCACATGTGTTTCCCATGCTTCCTGGCTATCTGCGCCCACGCGGTTCCCTACTCCTCAGGGGTGCCTGGCTGCCCCTCGTCCCCAGGCTCAGGCTCTTGCAACACCTGGTCAGGACC